TGAAGGGCAGGGCAGATATTGGGTAGTCAGTAATCATACTGGCGATTATGAGTTTTCTATTATTATTATTATCATTACTATATGATTTTGGTGAGTTTACATAACTTCTTCAGGCTTCAATTTCCTCATCTCTAACATGTGGACAGTAGGGACTACCTGGAGGGTTATATTGAGAATTAAAAATGACAGATATAAAGCATCTGGAGCATAGTAGGTGCACAATAAATAGTGAGGGGAGGTTCTTGTTCTCCCTTTGGTTCCTCTCCTTCACTTCCTTTTTCTCCTTCTTCAAATACCTGCCTCACTTTCCCCTCCTCTGTAGTTTTAGAGTATATGGAGACATCTGGAAAGCCTAGAAGAAATTATACTTTACAGTTTCAAGTTCAGTCACTTTTTTTCTCCTTATCCTGATAGACAGTTTATAATGATATTTGCTTTGCAATTAGGTAGTATAGTTTGTGAAAACATCATGTAGTGTTTATAATGATTTGTTTTTAGCCACGAAAGTAAATAATGATGTCTTTACTTCATTAAGCATTTAATTAATGCTTACATTAAATGTCATGTGAGATACATAAAACGTGTGTCTGAAGAAGTCAGTAGAATTAGGTCAAATGAATTTGAATGAATTCTTAGTGAAAGGAAAATGGAGTTTATGAAGCAAGTTATTTGTATTTGGTAGTGCTAGGTTCTTCACCTACTTTATTTTATTTAATACTATCAAAGCCCCTATGAGTTAAATGTTATTATTATTTTTTATTCCCCTCTGTTATGGACTGAATTCTTGTGTCTCCCAAAATTCATATGTTGAAATCTAATCCCCAGTGTGATGGTAGTTGGAGGTGGGACCTTTGGGAGGTGATTAGGTTATGAGGGTGGAGACCTCATGAATGGGATTAGTGCCCTTATTACAGAGACCCCAGAGAGCTCCCTCGCTCATTCCACCATCTATGAACCATGAAGTGGGCTCTCACCAGACACAGAATCTGCCAACACCTTCGTCTGGGACTCCACAGCCTCCAGACTATGAGAAATAAATTTCTGTTATTCACAAGCTGCCCAATTTATGGTATTTTTTATAGCACCCAAACTGAGGCAGACACCCTCTTTTAGGTGAGAAAACTGAGTATATTAATTCAGAATTGTATTTGACTGTTTGTAGCTGAAATAATAGTGGTTTAAACAAGGTGTAAGTTTGTTTCTCCTGTAAAACGTGGTCAGTGTTCAAGGATCCAGGCCTAGAACCTCTGTCATCAAGGATTCAGGCTCCTCCAGCTTTGTGCTCCACCAAGTGGCTTTATCTGCAAGGTTGAGCTATGATCCAAAAATAAATCACTAGATTGTAGTTTGTGCCCAAGAATAAACTGCTAGATTGTAGCTTGTTCACATTCTTATCTTCCGTAGATAATTCCAAATTGTTTCTGGAAATACACAGTCTTTCAAAGCACACATGGAACATTTAAAAACGTTAACTGTGAAACATGAAGCTCAACCAATATCAGAGTCATTATCATACAGACCACTCTCTGACCAGAATGCCTTAAAATCAGAAGTCAATGTAATAAAAATAACTTCATACACTTGGAAATTTTACAACAGATTTTTAAAAGGAATTGATGAATCAAAGAAGAACTCATTCATATTTAAAATGAAGAGAAAATGAAAATTTTATATTAATATTGTGGTATTCAGCTGAAGTCGTATGAAAAAGTTATAGTCATAAATGCATATGTGAGAAGAGTTTGTCTCAAGAATACGTAAAAAGCACAAGAACATAAGCCTAAAGAAAACTGAAAAGAAGAAATAATAAATGCACTCAGAAATTAATGGACTAGGAAAAAAAAGAACAAAGACAAGCAGGAAACCCAAGAGCTTGTTTTTGAAAAGAATTGTAAAGTGGATAAGTTCTGGCAAGATTAATCAAGAAAATGAGAGAAGATGCAAATATATGATATAAACCATAAAGGGGGCTGCAACTATAAATTTATCACAGATTTTAAAAGCTATAGGAAAATGCTATGAGTGACATTATGTCTACAGCTATAAAACTTTATTTAAAAAATGAATGATTTTTCCAAGTATATAATTTGAAAAGTATGTAAGGTATGGTCTGACTTTTTATTAACTATATATTTACATGTAAATATTCTCAAGGCAAAAAATACGTTCAAATATTTTTACGTGGTTAACTATGAGATAAGAATTTTTATCATTTTCCTTCATCCAAGTTTTTAAATTCTCAACAGTGAATAAGGTCTTAAAACCTACTAAGGACTGGTGAGGGAGGGACAGAGGAAGCACCCATGGGTCACACTCCCCTCGGGACCCTGCCTGAGTTTACAGTGCAGCCCCCCCACTGTGAGCCTCTGTGCTCTGGCAGGAGGTGCTGGCCACCGTACTGTCCTGATGTCTCCACACGCCATCCTCTACCATTCCTTTCTTCAGGGAGCTGTTTCCCCAACTTTCAGTCTTTTTCACCCTGGGACATGGACCCATGCACTTCTGCAGCCTTATTCCATCCTTGGACCCAACTCCAGTTCCCCAAAGTCCAGGCTGGTCCCATCGCCTGGACACCTGCTCTCTAGAGAGGAGGGCTGAGCACAGGGAACTCAGACCATGTTGAGCCTGGTCAGACGGCACCAGATGCTGGAGTCACAGGGACCTGGGTTCAAATCCCGGTTCGCCTCTTACTGGCTCTTTGAACTTGGTCGTATTCCTTACTTATCTCATCTTTAGTTTGTTGATGATAATGCCATATTAGAAAAATGAGGTAAAGTATATAAAACAACCACCATATAATAGGGCATCAGGAAGTGTGAATTATTTCTTCTGCCGTTAGTTATTTGCCTGTAGTTACAACTAATTTACTAGGAAGCCTGGTATGGTGGGAAAGGATGGCTCGTGTGTATGTTGCTATGGCTCAGCATGTGGACCTTAGCATTTCTAAACTGGGGCATGGTGTGGGGCAGAGTTGGAGGGGAGTATATATAACCAATTACAATGTACCCCAAACTAAACGCGGTACTTCTGCTACCACAGGCAATAGTAGCCAGAGCCTTTCCACTGACTGTTAACATTTTACTAAAGGAAGAGGGGAAATGCTATGTTAAAGCTGGGTGAATTTTCAGTTGGTTAATCTAGAAGAATGTCAGGGGTCCAGGGCAGAGAACTGCTTTTCCATTAGGGACACATGTGGTGAGTAACAAGCGGTTAGGCTGCTCCCTGCTGGACACGGTGGGCAAAGGCGGAGAGTAAGGAGAGTTGCCAGGGAATACTTTGAGAACTTTCCCCTGACGTGCTGGGGAAGAGATGGCTGGGAGGGGGTCTAGATAGGCATAGAGTGGGCCCAGGCATCTTGTCAGGTGGGTGGGAATTGAGAATTCAGTCAGAGCAGAAATTTAGAGTCACAGGAGACTTAAAATCTCCCTCTTACCCCATGCCGGTCATTCATAAAAATTTGGGGCAAGTGCTAGATTTTCTGTTATTTGTGATGAGTGCCTGAACAATCTGGGGAAAGATGACCCCAGAAGGCTGGAGGAATTAGGGATGTCTGAGTTGCCTGTGAAACTGAGTAACATCATCTCCATGTGCTGGGAGCCTAAAGAAATGACTCCTGCTGCTTAGTCCTGGAGTGTTTCATCTCATTATTTCCCACGGGAGCAGAAACTTGAGCTGGACTTTGCCACATGTGCAGGGTTTGGTAGGGCTTCGGCAGATCTTTAGGGTCGTAATTGCAATGAATCAGATCCTAAAAATCAATTTTAGTTTCTCATTGGTCTAAAAATGCTTGCTTGTACAAAGCGTTTTTTTTATTCGTTTGGTTTTTTCTTTTTTTATATACTGCTGACCATTTCCTCCTCCTGCAAATCTGCAGATTTCTCTTCTAAGAGTCTGCTACTCCTCCCACCTCCCTGGCTGCCCCTGCTGCTCCTTCTTCCCTAGCTCTTCTTCCTGGAGCTTGAAGGTAGGCCCACTACTCCTCCTGGGAGCCTTCCCTGGCCTGGCTCCTCACTCAGCTCACACCCAGTACATCCACTCCCAAGGTTGTGCCTCTTCCATGAGGTGAAGGACCCTCGAGCCGACAGCTCTAGCTCCTGAGTTTCGGATACCCATTTCCACATGGATGTCATGAGCGCCTTAAATTCATGATATCCCAGACCAATGAGATGATCTCCCTCCCTCTCATCTATTCAGACTCCTGACCAGCTGATGGCATGACCACACTCCCAGTCACAAGGGCTAGATCCTTCGCAGTGATGGGTAGCTCCTGTGTTACCTCATCACCTGTGTCCTGGCACTGTCACCTCTCCCACACTGCCCTGAAGACCGGGTGGGCTCTCAGGTGGACTGCAATTCACGCTTCTGTATCTTTGCTTAGGAATCAACTGTTCCCAGTCCTCCACAAACCCTTATCTCTGCTGTCCAAATCTCAGGGCCAGATGTTTCTACCCATGTTTTACCTGCTTCCCCAGCCCAATGTATGGCCCCGCTCTTGTGGACTCTCCGTGCCATTGTCTCAGCACATTCTCATGTTCCACAGCATCCCTTCCTTATATTGCACTTACTAACATTTATGCAACATTCCTCCATCTATAAGATGTCAGCAGGATGTTTAGCTGATCCATCCCCTCAGTCTCCTCAGAGACTTGTACGTGTTTGGGGTCAATAGGTAGGTTTTGTGGCCATGAGTACACCATGGGCATCCTTGCCCATCTTCCCAGCTGGTGGATACTTTTCTTGAGGATGGGACTAAACATGATTCAGCTTTGCATCCCCTACAGAGCCTGAGCACTGTGTCTGGCACAACCTAAACATATCATAAATGCTGAAGTGGATGCTTGAAGGTAACCCTATTAATAATTTAGTATTTATTGTACCTTGAAGAACTCTAACATTAAAAGTTTTGGATAAAGCAGATGAGCCTATAAGAGAAACTGAGACAGAAGGGCTAGAGATGGAGGAGGGAATCTAGGAGAACATGGAGTGACAGGACAGGGAAGCATTTACATGGAGAGAGAGATCGAGCAAGAAGACGCTGGTCTGGCAGCATGGAGGTCTTTATGAGAAACACGTGTCTTTGGGAGGTAGTAACAGAAGCCAGATTGGAGTGCACTGAGGGGGAGGAGACGTAGAAATGGAGAAAGAGAGTGTTGATAACTTCTCAAGAACATTGTCTATAAAAGTGAGGAGTTATAGAGAGGAAAAGAGACATGAAAGTGAGATTCAGAGAGGATTCTCTTTCAAAATGGGATATTTATGAGTATGATTAAGAGCTTCTGAAGTAGGGAGGACTTTCTGAACTCAAATATAAAACCCTGAGTAAGAACTAGGAAACTTAATTACATAAAAATTAATTTTTTGCATGATAAAAGCAGGTGAAACATTGGGAAACAGCATTTGCAACATAACAGGTGTAACACATAATATGGACTCTACAGACTGAGGTGCAAAAGGTTGTATTTTCTTCTCATAACTACACTCAACTTGCTCCTCAGCCCTCACTTCTATCTGTAGCAGAAGACAACCCTATCAAAAAACAAAAAAGTTACACAACATTATAAATCAACTATACTTCAGTAAAAAACAATAGAAACCAACCAACCAACAAAAAATCAAAATATCCCCTCAGAGTAACTTAGTTGTTTTTAATGTATTCATCCTTAAAACCCAGATCATCTTCTCTGTCTTCAAAGAATCCATCCCCTTTTCATGGTTTCCTTTATCTTTGTACATACTTCTGTTGGTCGATGTCACCGTGTCTTGTAATTATATACTGCACGTCTGTGTGTACAAATTGACCTTGAGTTTGTTGAGTGGGGGGACATTCTCAGTGGCCGGTATATGCACATTACCTGTGTATATTTGTAGACTCTTGTTGGTTAATAGTCATTTAAGTACCCTGTGTGCTTCAGTGTTTTGGAGTGTTAGGTAGGACTATCTCTGCATGTGTCACGTTTCCACAAAGGATGTTGTAGTAATTAAGTTTTTACCCCCCTTTCAGAATATTTCAAGAATCAAAACTCTCTAGTCTCTCCTCTTCCTCCTCTTACTTTTCCTTTTTAACTGAGGTAAACAGTAAAATGCACAAAAATTAAGTGTAGAGCTCACTGAATTTTTACATATGTATACACCTGTGTAGTCATCTCCCAGATCAAGATCCAGAACATTTTCCGCCCCCAGCAGGCTCCCTCCTGCCTCTTCTTAGTCAGACCCCACCTCTTCCAAATACAACTATGTTCTGATTTCTAGCACCATGTACTAGACTAGTTTTGCCTGTTTTTGAACCTCATATAAATTGAATCATATAGCGTGTATTCCTTTGTGTTTGGCTTCTTTTGTTCGACATTATGTTTGTGAGATTCAAACATGTTGACCTGTGTCTTACAGTCTGTTCTTTCTCATTCTGGTGTAGTGTTTCATTGTATGAATAGAGATTATGCTTTCAATAACAAAGCTTTCTTGGTTTTTTAGAGAAATGGCCATTCCTAAATCTAGAATATTATTTTGCCATAGATGTGTTTGGCTTTGTAATACTTTTTCCTGTCTTAAGTGGGTGGCTAATAAATAAGGGAAAAAAGAGTCCATTTTCAGAAAACATGATTTAAAAATAAAAATTAACAAACTCTTCCCTTATATTGCCTAGGTACAAACTCTTAGGTGTAAGATAGGCTACAGGGATGTATTTGTACAACACGGGGAATATAGCCAATATTTTGTAATAACTGTAAATGGAGTGTAACCTTTAAAAATTGTATGTAAATTTTAAAAAAAAGAACAAACTCCTAATTGAGTTCATTTCCATAGAGCTGGGCAGGAAATTGACCTTCCAGATTCAGGATGGAGGATAGCCCTGAATGTTAACTTGGACCATGGGAGTAGCAGGGAGTGGGTTCCTTGAGTAGAAAGCTCCCTCACATGAATGTGCTGTTTTATGTCTCCCCACCTCCCCCCGCATCACTGATTTCCAGTGAGATGAGTCAGAAAGTGGTTAAGGAGGGCCCCAGACTCTCCAAGAACCAGAAGTTCTCGGAGCACTTCAGCATACATTGCTGCCCGCCGTTCACCTTCCTCAACTCCAAACGCGAGATTGTGGACCGCAAGTATAGCATCTGTAAAAGTGGCTGCTTCTACCAGAAGAAAGAGGAGGACTGGATCTGCTGTGCCTGCCAGAAGACCAGGTGAGTGGTCTGCGCTGCCACCTGGCGCCTGGGCTGGGCGTTGGCCTCTGTCTCTCAGCTCTGAGTTCCCCCTTCCTGCTCTACTCTGCGATGCTGGGGCTGAGGCTCTGCAAACTGCGCTTCCCCCAATCCCCTGACAGTCGGCTCCCCCGTTAGGCTCAGGCATTGGAAGGTACTGGAGGGAGACTGGAAGGTGGGGCGGGGGGAGGAGCAGGGCTGCCTTCCTATTTCCAGCTCCTGTCAGCATCCCTTAAAGCAACAGAGGAGAGCCATTGCTCCAGCCTCCAGCTTCTTTTGGCCCTCTCAGCACCAGCCGCCGCGCAACGTCCCCTCAGAGGCCCAAGCGCCAGCCAGCTGCACCCCCCGCGGTGGTCAGAGCACCAGCCAAGCCACGGTCCCCTCCGAGGTCCGAACGTCAGCCACGCCCCCGCCCAGAAGTCCGACCTCCACCAGCCAAGCAGCGTTCCCCTCAGAAGGCCAAGAAGCAGCCGCGCAGCAGCCCCCAGAAAGGGCCAGGCACCAGCCGTGGGGGGTCCCCCAACAAAGCCTCTAGGTTCTGGTAACACCACCTCTTCCCTTTTGCTCCCCAGCCCTAAGGTTAGTAGCTGCTTCCTGTGTTTACTAACAATAGGTTATCTCAGTGGCCCTCCTTCAGCCTTACCAAACCTGTGTAATCAGTTCCCTGCATTAAATCCCCTTGTTTGAAACACCTAGTGTGGCTTCTGTTTTCCACATAGCCACTGTTGGTACAATACTTCAGATGGCAGCACCAGTTGCTTCCTTTGTCTAGTAGGACTGGAAGTGATTAATTTATAAATTCAGAGTATGGACCACAGTAACAGATTGAATAAATGAGGTCCTCGATTCCTGTCCCTCAGAGAGAGAAGGAATGGGGGCTCTAAGGGGTATCTGTGTATGTGCAAAAGGAGAGGTTCAGCCAGTTCATCCACCCCTCCTCCCAACACACTTCATCTGATGTTAACTTCAGTGGCAAGATCGTTCATTCATTCATTCAACAATCTTGACTGCATATGTATAGAGTTCCACATACTATGCTGGGGGATGGGAACGTGGCCAGAACAAGCCAGGTTGTTTGTGATCCACCAGAACCAAACAAGAGAATAGTTAGTCACAGTGTAGGGTTAAACGCTCTAATACTCTCATAATCAGTATGTGCATTGGGCTATGGAAGCCTGGAGAATGATTCTGCCTGTCTGGGGCTTCGAAGAAGTTAGGTTAGATTAAGTAGAGGATAAAAGGGGATGATGCCTGTAGAGAGAATAAGTGAGCCAAACAGCATATGTTCATCAGCTCCATCTTGGGAAGGTCAGCCTGTTTTTTTTTTGTTTTTTTTAATAGACTTTACTTTTCAGAGCAGTTTTAGGTTCATATCGTAGTTGAGCAGAAGGTACAGAGACTTCCCTCATACTCTCTGTCCACACGCACGGCAGGCCAACTCTTTAGTCCTTTTAGTATTTGAAAATGAACCTGTTTTATAAGTTAACAATGGATATAAACTGTATTTGGGATTCTCATAAATACTCTGATGCTCAGAACCTGCATAACACATAATAGTGCATGCATGTCTCATGATGTTTACAGATTTAGTATGTAGAAGAATCAACTGGGGAGCATGTTAAAATGCTCCCAGAGAACCTAATTCCTTGGGTCACTTGTGAGGTTCTAGGGATCTGCACTGTCAACAAGCAACCAACCCACCCCCAGTGTAGATCAGGTGAGGTTAATTTGGGAAGGAAGTAACAGACTGGTGAGTGACTGGTAAGTCACTAAAACTGTAATAGGAAGTTGTGCGTCAAGTTACCTGGTTGTTAATGTATGCCTTCCTGAGGGGCCTGAGTAATAAGGTCCTAGGACAGGTGAGCTTTGAAATATGGAAGTGGTTAGGAAATGTACAGAGCAGAGGAAATTAATTGTATATGAGGCATGACATCTATGGTGGTGGCTTCAAGCCCACAATCTCCAGTGAGCTATGTGATGGCTGTTTGGGTGGCCGGGAGTTGAATGAACCAGGACATGGAAAGGAGATGGAAGACAATGAAAGCCAATTTCATCTGAGCCACAGCTTTGTCTGGATTCAGCCTTGCTGAATTCACTTAAACTCAAGAGATATTTTAGTGTTGGTGTATTTTGACTCCCTCAGTTAACCGTCCTCGGTGGGTATCAGGGAAGACACCTCTATAGTCTGTCACTGCCTCCTCAGCTGTCGTCCCTTCCCTGGGACCAAGGGACCTGACAGGCTCCATTCATAATGTCCCACGACATCACAGATGCACCATCTGAGCCCTTCCTACGATACTCATTCTCCCTTCTCAGGTTCCCCAAGGTCCTAAGGTAATGCATTAGAGACATTGCTTCGCCATGCTGTATGCGCTATGCATACATACTCTATTGACACTAAGTGACTGTCCTAAATCAAAGGGGTGGGAGGAAGATTAATGGGAAAAAATTCACTCTCAAGCGGAGCTACTAAATTACATGTGAAGAAAGGGTCAAAAAAGTTTTCCTGAAGCAGGCTTGCTTTCTGAAATGGTGCCATTCTTGAGGTCTGACCCTTTGAGGTCAAACAATTTTGACAAAGGACTTTTGTGTCCTTAGTAATTCCCTTGGATACATCTTTTCAAAAACCAGGGAATATTTAAATCTTAGGATCCAATAGGTATGATTCCTTGCATCCTGATTGAACATGCCAGCATTCTCATATTTGATGGAAAGAAACCATGGCATCTCCCTTTTAGTTTGTTTTACTCTCGGTTCTTCAAGGTTTTAGTATTTCACAGGTCATCCTGGCCTTTAGGGTTAAGACGTGTTTCCGGAGCTGAGACTCTTCTGGCTCCTTGGTGCTCTGCTTTCAGGAGCTAAGATCTGTGGTTTTCTGAAAACTTCTGTGGCTGCGGCTTTGAGTGACTAATTTGGGGCCAGTCACACATATGTGAGCAGTACTGTGTGTGCCTCTGATGTGTTCTTTCACAGCATCGTCTTGTACAAACTGAGCCTGCACACAAGAAGCCTGGAGGACCAATCTATTTCCACATGTATTTTCAAGCCTGGTCATCGAGACCACGTGTACAGCACTGCACCAAACTCTGGGCAATCAGGGGGGATGATGTATGCCCCTGGTCCCGCTGCTCAGATGGTATTTATGAGAGGCCCATCTTTCAGCGATGCTGCTGTTCCCCTGAGTAACAACCCTGAGCTCGGGAGTTAGCCCACAGTCAGTGGTCGCACCTGTATATAGTTTTCGGTTTGTTCGCAATGACCAGGACTGCCAAAGGAAAATGCAATTATAAACATTTACATACTTGACAAGCTAGGATTTACTTCAGAAGAGCGCCAACCCATGAGCAATTACTGTGAGGGGTCCGAGAGTATGCACTAACAGACCCAGGCTCCGGGGCCAGCTGCTAAGTTTCAGGCTCTTAGATAGAGGTAGTCTGCCTGCTTTTCAGGTCTGCACACCCAAACTTATTCCAGACACTTTCTATGATGTGACTTGTCCTCCTTTTGTCTTCCTGATGCCAAGAGGTACATTCTGCATTTTCACCTTCCAGAAAACCAGAGAGAACTCTCTTTCTTTGTGCAGGATTGGGTAAACTAGCCCTTCCACTTCCCTTGATTTTTCCATCTTGGTCTTCTTTATGAGTCCTTCCTTTTCTGGCAACACTTCACCTTGGGATCCTCTAGGGTTTTATTCTGAGCCCTCTCCTTGATTTTGCCTTCTGTTTTTTTTTTTTTTAATTATTTATTTTTAAAATTTTTATTAGAGTATACTTGATTTACAATGTTGCATTTGTTTCTGCTGCACAGCAAAGTGAATCAGTTATACATATACATACATCCCCTCTTTTTTAGATTCTTTTCCCATATAGGCCATTACAGAGTCTCTTACGGTTTCATGGGTTTTTTTCAGTTGTAAATATATATACACATTTTTAATATTCTTTTCCATTATGGTTTATAACAGGATATTCAGTATAGTTCCCTGTGCTATACAGTAGGATCTTGTTGTTTATCCATTCTAAATGTAATAGTTTGCATCTACCAACCCCAACTCCCAGTCCCTCCCTCTCCCTTCCCCCCTCCGCCTTGGCAATCACAAGTCTATTCTCTATGTCTATAAGTCTGTTTATGTTTCGTAGATAGGTTCATTTGTGCCGTATTTTAGATGCCACATTAAGTGATATCATATGATATTTGTATCTCCCTTTCTGACTTACTTCACTTAGTATGATACTCTCTAGTTGCATCCATGTTGCTGCAAATGGCATTATTTCATTCTTTTTTATGGCTGAGTAGTATTCCATTGTATATATGCACCACATCTTCTTTATCCATTCATCTGTCAATGGGCATTAGGTTGTTTCCATGCTTTGGCTATTGTGAACAGTGCTGCTATGAACATAGGGGTGCATGTATCTTGATGAAGTATAATTTTGTCCAGGTATATTCCCAGGGGTGGGATTGCTGGATCATATGGTAATTCTATTTTTAGTTTTCTGAGGAACCTCCATACTGTTTTCCATAGTGGCTGTACCAACTTAACATTCCCACCAACAGTGTAGGAGTGTTCCCTTTTCTCCACATCCTCTCCAGCATTTGTTATTTGTAGACTTTTCTTATGGGTTTAAACGTGACCGGCATGGTGATGACTTTTAAACCTTATTCCAGCCCTGGCATTAAACTCATATATGGGCTTGATTGCCCAGCAGATCAACGTGGATGTTATCAAACTCAACTCATCTCCACTTGACTTCTTTCCCATGAACACTCGATCTTCCTCTTATCAACAACCTCAGCAAATAACACCACAGCCCCTCTAATCAGCCCTACTGGAAACCTAAGCCCCACCCTGACTTCCAACCTCTTGAGATACACACATGCCTGCCAATTCTACTTTCTAGAATTTTTTTTGTTTTTTTACCGTAACTTAAAGTACATTAAGAGCTGATGGGAAAGGGTGCAGAAGTGAGGGTGAGATTGGAAACAAAGGAGAGGGGATGGAGATCGTGGATAGAGTGAGAGAAGTAAGGCTCCTTCATAGTACGTGTGGAGGGACAGGCCACTGATGGGAACAGGAAAAGCCGTTTGGTTTTGCAAAATAGAGACCCATTAAATGGTCGTTAAGGGGACTTCCCTGGCAGTCCAGTGGTTAAGACTCTGTGCTTCCAGTGCAGCGGGTGTGGGTTCAATCCCTGGTTGGGGAACTAAGATCCCACATGCCTCGCAGCCAAAAAAATACATAAATAATAAAAAATTTGAAAACATTTAAAAAAGGATGAAGGCAAGTCATACCCCGAGGATGAAAGAGCTGGAGGTCTGAGGAGGTTAGGGTAGGTTTAGAACAGGCCGTGAGGCTGCGCTGAAGGCTTGCTGAGCTCTGCCTGATGGAGCTGCATATGAACCATCTGTTCTTTCTAAGTTTATTCTCCAATGAGGGAAACAAATTGCCGTCTCTGAAATCACCAGTGGAATCATCCAACTCCACATCAACCGTCTGCTTTTCTTCCAGCTTGCTTTGTTAAGTGTGCCCACAGCAACTGTTCTTAAACTTTACCAGGTGCTTCTGGTACTCTGAGCCCTGGCTTTTCCTTCTCCATCCATCAGATTCCTTTTTTCTTCCCTGGTAGTTTGATTTAAAAAATGTTTCAAGTTATCATCATTTATTTATTAATTTAAATTATTTCCTTATGAATTATTCAATTTATTTAAAGTAAAAAAGCAAATCGAAACAGTTTACCAATTTCTCTCCCCCTGCACCCCTGCCTCTGTTCTTTGTATCTATGAGCTTGTTTTTCATTTGTTTGTTTATTTAGATTCCAGATATAGAAGAGATCCTATGGTGTTTATCTTTCCCTGGCTTATGTTACTTAGCACAATGCCCTCGAGGTCCATCCATGTTGTTGCAGATGGCAAGGTTCCATTCTTTTTTATGGATGAATAATGGTTCGTTGTATGTGTGTGTGTGTGTATATATATATATATATATATATATATATATATATATATATATATATCTCACAGTTTCTTTATTCACTTGTCCACTGATGGACACTTGTTTCCATATCTTGGCTATTATAAATAATGCTGAAATGAACATGAGGGTGCATATATCTTTTAAAGTTAATGTTTTCATTTTCTTTGCATAAATACACAGGAGTGGAATTGCTGGACCGTATGGTAGTTCTATTTTTAATTTTTTGAGGAACCTCCATACTGTTTTTCACAGTGGCTGCACCAATTTACATTCCCCTCAACAGAGCACAAGGGTTTTCTTTTCTCTACATCCTCACCAACACTTACTATTTCTTGTCTTTCTGATAATAGACATTTTAACAGGTGTGAGGTGATATCTCATTGTGGTTTTGATTTGCATTTCCCTGATGATTAGTGATGTTGAGCATCTTTTCATGTACCAGTTGACCATATGTGTCTTCTTTGGAAAAATGTCTATTCAGACTCGTTCTTTCTTCACTTTCCTCCCTCTCCAAATTAGAAACCATGGCCCAACATTTTAATCTCTCTCAAAAATACCTTACATTCCCCTACCCTTTGAATATCTATCTCATATTCTTGGGAAAACCTCCAGCCTTGTATGAAGCCAACCATCTGCCTTCACCCTGTCTGTTTCCAGGCAGTTTTGAGCATTACTGGGAAAAAACACACAGCAGGGCAGTAGTAGTTGGGTGGAAAGCAGGATTACGGTGATTATATCACTAAGCACTGTTTTCTTTTGGGAAGCCATAGTTCAGTTACCTGCATTCGGATAAAGGAGAAAGCCACAGACCATGACACAAAAAGTGTCATGTATGTTTGTGTAATACACAAGGCACATACACACACACACACGCACGCATACATATATCAGGTTTACATGCATGCAGTAGAATTCAACGTTTTCAGCAAACAGTTCTATGCACAGAGTCATGTAACCACCACCGCAATCAAAATATAGAATACTTTCATCAACTTCCAAATTTCCCTCATACTTCCCCTTTGAAGTCAGTCCCCAAGCTCCTGACAACCACTGATCTGTTTTCTGTCCCTATAGTTTTGTCTTGTCTAGAATGTCACATAAATGGAATCATACAGTATGTACCCTTTTGAGTCTGGCTTCTTTCACTTAGCATAATGCATTTGAGATCGAACCATGTTGTTGTTGCATGAATCAGTAGTTCTTTCACTTTTATTGCTGAGTAGTATTCCACTGTATGCACGAACCTATCAGAATTTTCCATTCACGAGTTGAAGGATATTTAGGTTGTTTCCAGTTTTTGGTAATTATGAATAAAGCTTCTGTAAACATTCATGTGAGTGTAAGTTTGCTTTTCTTTGAG